CCATGACAATGGTGATCGCATGTGTCAAGACGATAACGTAAATTCAGTCTGTAGTTAATAAGGCTTATTTACTACAGATTGAATTTACTTAGTAGTATCGGGGGCACGGGTGGCCTAGTCGTCTAAGGCGCCGTGATTCGCTGTGCAGAGTTGCGTCCCTTGGGCACGCCAGAAACCTATGATTGTGGGTTCGAATCCCGGTTCGCCCCAAATTATGTTTCTAGGTTTGTCAGCACCATACCCGTGCTCGTGGGTTTCACCGAAGTGGTAAACGTCTGAGACCTGCATCACTTCAGGCTTTCCTCCCACATTAAGCTGACACGCTGTCATATAACTGGAATACTGTTAAAAGCGGCGTTAAACCCAACTCACTCACTCACTTAGTGGTATCACTGGTATATCAAAATATGACATTGTTCTAAACTAAACTAAAAGAAGGATGAAAAAACAAAAATGGGATCCCAAACTGACCTTCCACTATACAAATAGATCTCAAAACGAATACGACTAAACGTAACGCAGGGCAAATAGTTCCAGGAACCAGTCCATTTGAATAGGTTGCAACGCGGATACATTCAATGTTGTCATGGTCGGGAACGACGTGAGGTATTGCGCAGCTAGGTATACATTTATGTACATACAAAGCCGTTGACACGAGTATTGCACTAGAATGCACTTATTAATGAAACGTCAAATGCTTTTTCCACGACACTACTGCAAACTTATAAATACTATCCCAGCTGAAATGTTTCCTCAGTTATCTTAAAAAAACGTACACATATTCAATCTCACATTTTATATTACACACGCCTCTTATTAAACTCTGTTCATGTCGTACGGAGCAAGTAAACGGATCTAGTCGGTCTGGTTAGGGGAGCTCCTTGGGCACGCCCGAAACCTAGGATTGTTGGTTCCGATTATGTTTCTAGCACCATGTCAGCACCATACCCGTGCTCGTGGCTTTCACCAAAGTGAAAAACGTTAGAGACCTGCACCACTTCGGGCTTTCCTCCCACATTAAGCTGACACGCCGTGATATAACTGGAATAGTGTCTTATGTGGCGTTAAACACAACTCACTCACTCTTGGTATGTGACTTGGATGGTAATTTGTCCTCGTACTCCGGCAGCGCGGTAGGGTTTATAATGTAAATCACTAGTTTGCCTGATACATATGTTAAAGACAGACGTGATATATCTGGAATGTTGCTGATTGCTGCGTTAAACAACAACAGTCGTGATCCTACATTAAAACATTCAATTCAAGTTACTTATAATGACTAGAGAGTATTCTTAAGAAAACTAGTTTAAAACTAAACGTAGTTTGTTTTTTTTAATTTGTAGAGAACTAGCATTTACCTTGAAAGTTCTGGAATACCATGCATGGAGAATTGATAAGTATCTAATTAGCGTTTTCTTCGAAAGTGCTAAAAGAATAATAAAGTGTAGAATGGTATTTTAAAGAGCACATATATGGCAAAGATGAAACTAAACAGCGAGTATTGCAATTCTCACTGATGCGTGAATTTTTCATTACTTAGAGCAACAATTGGGATTCATCGTCTATATGACGCGTCAAGTCATCCCGAAATTAGCCCCTCATTACAGTTCTGGCGTGAATTTAACACCTCTCCCCCATCCCTTAACACCACACGTCAAGATTCATCCTAAGTGACCTTCACCTTTGTTCATCCAATCAGGATTGCCCTTAGAGTCCTGGGCTTCTTACTGGCTGACGTCACCTACGCGGTTAATGTCACGTATACGTCTCATCTGGAGCGCTGCTGACCGAAACTCACTTAATTAAGTCGACTCTTCGCGATGATGAGGGTGAGACAAGGTGAAAAGCTGACACTGCCTCGTTTTGGTATTGAGTCGATAACGAGTCTGAAGTATGTTTATTCAGTGGAAGCCGCCGATATTACGGCATGTAATGTTCATGATTTACAATCATCCGGCTGAGAGCTTGTCAATATCCTAAACCCGGTCGTGAAATGTGGGCAAATTATTAATATCTGCCGGTAATATTGTGTTGTCCGCCATCGTTAGCTAGAAATGCTAGTGTCAGGCATGTGGGCAAACAACTGATGATGGAGAACCATAATATTTCTTTGATCAAAAGGGCACGAAGAACATGACGGTTTTATCTCTTCAGACAAAGTCATACATTTTAACAGATCAGAGACATTGGTTGCAAAACAATTTCATAAGGTCGTACTCAGTATGCACATAGTATATATTACATAGCAGGCTTACAAACGCTCATGTTGGATGTTTCTTTTTTATGTTAGATCATCTACCTTAATTATTTTTTATGTCAGCATACTTCATCTTAATCTGAAAAAAAATCTTTAAAATATTGCTACTATATAAATTCATTTCATATTTTTTTCTTTCTCTCAATCAATAACGTGTCTTAATCGGTAGGGTAGGATACACTTATAGGTTTCTTAGGATACGCACACAAGAAACCTTATCATTTTCTAATGTTAAACCAACTGTCTTCAGTCCTCACATTTTTCTCTATTTACTCGTCGTTCTATTCTTTATTTCATTTTGTCAGTACTGTGACAATTACTTGATAGAAACTAACTTTTACCTCAATATACTTTAGTCTATATTCTGCAATTTTCCGAATCCTTCAAACTATTTTAGATGAAAAGCCTCCTGTTTCGGTGAGCTGAAATCAATCCCCAGCTTATTCACAGAAGAAATAATTGGACCCCACGGACATGACTGCCACCCAATCAGTAAATCATTAACCAAAATGCCATGACTTCTTTTTAAAGTTACATTGATAAGGCTTGTAGAGAATTCGTTTAGGCTACCATGAAATGTACTTAATATTGATGAAGTCTTGGTTATTTGACTGTTGACTGGAAACTCCATGTTAAGATATCCTCGATTATCCTGGTTATTTTATCCCCATTCTGTTATGATAAATACCCTGGACCTATTCGAAACAGTTATTTATTTGGAGACTGATTCAAAATTACATGAGGCTAAATATAGCCGTCCAATCAAATTACACTCATGAGCGAAATATATTCTGTGCTGAGAGATTGAGATGGTGACGTCACTTCCGACACGAAGCAATGGAATGAAGATACAATACGCAGGATTATCGAGGATGCATTATTATACGTTATTTCCGTATATTGTATTGGGTCTGTATACCATTATACTGCGTTTGAATTTAATTTAATTTTCAGACTAACAAATATGCGAACCCATGCCATGACTGTGCCTATAGTGGCGCTATAACTCCAAATGGACCCCGACATGAACTTACTTATATGATTATAAAGGAGCACTCTTGATAGAAACGTCATTTCACAAATATGCCAAGATTTTACAATTTAGTAACTTACTAAGGTAGAATAGGTCTTCAGCAACCCATGCTTGCTGTAAAAGGCGACTATGCTTGTCGTAAAAGGCGACTAACGGGATCGGATGGTCAGGCTCGCTGACTTGGTTGATGCATATTACCGTATCTCAATTTCGTAGATCGATGCTCATGATATAGATCACTGGATTGTCTGGTCCAGACTCTATTATTTACAGACCGCCGTCATATAGTTGCAATATTGCTGAGTGCGGCGTTAAACAACAAACCAACCAACCAACTAAGGTTTCTCTATTTAACCAGGCTCAACGTCTAGGTTGTCCTAAATCTATTTCGAAGGCCTCCGTGGCCTAGTGGTAGAGCGTCTGCCAGAGGGCGGAAGGTCGGTGGGTCGATCACCGCCGCGTCAGACCAAAAGACGTTAAAAGATGAAACTTGTTGTTACCCTGTCTGGCGATCGTCATGAAGGGGATAATACAAGGACTTGTCGGCATACTGTGTCTGAGTGGGGTAGCCATGTAAAACTGCGGCATGGTATCTCTGTGGGCTATACAATAAAAAACGGCATTAGTCTGGACACACACACACACACACACACACACACACACACACACACACACACACACACACACACATATATGCATGCATGCACATGTATGTTTAAAGCACTTAGTTCCACCTTAAAAAATAATATGTAAATTGTAATTTCGCCAAATGACAATCAATGTGAAAGTTGGTCAGCGGGGGTCAGCCTGACATTCGTTCCTAAAACGCCCTTCACCTCAGCAAAGGTCGGTTTGTTTGCTTTTAGTTCTTCGGGGATTTAATTTCCGGGCGTTGCTTGAGTGGAGGCTTACTGATTGAAAATCAGTCATTACAGTAGCTATTATTGTTGCCTGACTCGGTGATTAGTGATTACGCAACACGTTTCATGGTAATTGCAAAACGTTGCTCTCTTTTTTTCCTTCATTGTTGTAAAAGCAGCATGTGCTGTTGTATCTGCAATGTAGTTTAGCGTAGTGCAGTGCAGTTTAGTGCTATACAGTTTTTTGGTGTTTTGCGTTGGTTGCTGTGCTGTGCTGTGCTGTGTTTGCTGTGCTGTGCTGTGCTGTGCTGCACTGTGCTATGCTCTCCGATACGGTGCGGTGTAGTGTGATGCGGTGTAGTATTGTAGTGTAAGGTAGCGGAGTGGAGTGGAGTTAAGTGCAGTGCAGTAATAGATTAATTTATGAAATCGCGGCACTTTCACAATTTTGTGTGAAAATATAATGCGTACCTTATCTAATACCAAGATATCACAATACGTTCGTATTTAATGGTCAGTGGCAGATTCCTCTGAACTATGCTTCATTTAGCGTATCCCTGACATGGTGGAGGGTCGCCTGGACGTGTCACCTCCCGCTCTGATACCGAAGGTTGGCTTTAATCCATGCAGTGCCCTCTTTGATTTCACGGTACCGAGAACTTGCTACATTTGCTTCGATTCGAAGTTAATTAAACAAATTTGCATCCTAGTTTCCATTTCAAAGACGTTTACCTATTTCCTTACGCATTACGTCAGTGACGTCAAGTCACGTTTTTTAAAACGTGTATTCCGTTGACTATTAGTATTTATTTAGAGAATTAGTAAATAATCTGTTTTGTCATTATTTCAGTTTATCATAACTGGCACACTTGGGGTCCTGTGCGCAAGAAAGAAGTCATCTTACGTGGTAAGTACACATGCAGGAACGTGATTTTTCCCGTCAGCGTGACGTCATACCACTCTCCCTTTTCATCCTGTCTCTTTAACTGAAAATAACGTGAGTAACGTAATGGGCATTTCCCACGTTAAAAATATCCTTATTCAACAAATATTCCCCATGAAGAGAATATATATGAAGGAGACACGATATTCTTCTTCTATCGTACGGTGTTAGCTTTCATCTATCTTCATCTCGTCCCTACGTCAAACAAGTCTATCTTAGTAACATCTCGAACCTAATGAGGTTACTCGCGTACGTACACTGATGATTAAAGGAACACGCTCATCCCTTTGGAAAATGTCGTTGGCGGTTGAAGCTGCGAGCGCTGACAAGGTTACCAGTGGTTTGCTCAGAGCACTGACTGTCTTATGTAGCCTACGAATCGGGAAGAATTCTGTCGCTCTTCCAAATAATTCCTCTTCAATCTGTGGCGTCAATACGCTTGTTAGTCGTGTCTGCTTGGGTCACATCCACAATGCATACCAAACCGCAGGTTTACCCTGTCCATTATAACAATGTGCTGAATTGGAAAATAAGGTTGGAAAAACTGACAGTGCATCAAGGGATTAATGCTGATGTTGATAAGCGTTATTGTAGGGTGCACTTCTCAACAGCAACACACCAAACTGATACTAACTTTACAGTGGAAAGAATTTGATTTACGTAGACAGTCCTCCTAAGTTTGCCACTATAAAGGAACTGATAGGCAATAAATCACGTCTGCCACATTGAAAGGGGCAAAACACTAGAAATGATGCGAGAAGATGGCAATTTTCTGCTGTAGAATTTTCATAAAATGACGGAAATAAATCGAATTTATCAAACCAAATGACAGAACCACCATAAAATTAGAATGGGTTGGGGGATGTAGCTACGGCAGGCAAACAAGCGGAGTCGAAAATTATGGATTTATTTTGGTGGCAGCGGTGGAATAGTCGGAATTCCCGTGAATTCGTTACAATGGTCGTGATTACTCCCTCTGCAGGCCGATCTGGTGGCGATAATTAATTGTGCAGAATTTCGTGAAGATTTCCTAATTAAGTTTTATAACCTTATTCGGTTTTGTTAACACGGATAACAGAATGGCAGATTGTCGATCACGCGGTGCGGTAGCAGGCGCTGTGGACATGTTAATCCTCTTCCGCGGCGACATGGTCCGTTGGATACATTCCAAAGATCGCCATCAAGTGATTTGTGTTCCGGGAAAACCAGATTTGAAACCTCTTTAGAGCTCATTTTGAAAAGCTAATGTCATCAGCTTGCTCTTTCTATGAGTTCACCGTAGGTTCTAAAAGAAGCGCTGTCCATTAGGATCTGTCAGTGGTTTTGCTCCAGACCGACCACGAGGCAACAACGTGACCGCTTCAACGGCCGTCTGACGTGACGCGCTTGCAAAACCTCATCGCGTTGCTGCCCGCATGCCCAGTATCGTTTGTTCTGTAGTCTCGTTATATACTTTACATATGACATGAACCAGCTCTCCCCTTTCAAGCTATTAATTTGGCTTCGCCAGCCGTTATGTATATGTACAACGTTATCATTCACACTATCCTGAACCATGACGCCATCCACTGCTCTGTTTCATGACGTCACCCACTGCTCCGTTCTATGAAATCACTTACTGATCTGTTCTAAAACATCACCCACTGCTTCCTTCCATGACATCACCCACGGCTCTGTTCCATGACATCTCCCACTGCTCCGTTCCATGACATCACCCACTTCTCCGTTCCATGACATATCCCACTGCTCTGTTCCATGACGTCACCTAGTGCTCTGTTCCATGACATATCCCACTGCTCTGTTCCCTGACGTCACCTAGTGCTCTGTTCCATGACACATCCCACTGCTCTGTTCCATGACGTCACCTAGTGTCTGTTCCATGACATCACCTAGTGCTCTGTTCCATGACATCACCTAGTGCTCTGTTCCATGACGTCACCTAGTGCTCTGTTCCATGACGTCACCTAGTGCTCTGTTCCATGACATCACCCAGTGCTCTGTTCCATGTCGCCACCAACTGCTCTGTTCCATTACATCACCAACAGCTCTGTTCCATTACATCAGCCAGTGCTCTGTTTCATGACATCTCCCACCGCTCTGTTCCATGACGTCACCCACTGCTCGCTTCCATGACATCTCCCACTGTCCTGTTCCATGACACCACCCACTGCTCTGTTCCATGAGATATCCCACTACTCTGTTCCATGACATCACCCACTTCTCTGTTCCATGACATCACCCACTTCTCTGTTCCATGACATCACCCACTTCCCTGTTCCATGTTTTATATCATGACATCATCCACGGTTCTATTCCATGACATCCCCTAGGTCTTGACATGACATCACCCTGTGTTATACACCATGATATCACCCACATGATACCTCCTTATATTCTATAACATGACATCACTCACTGTTTAGAAAGATACATCACCCTATGTTCTGTTACGTGATATCGTCCAGTGCGGCGTACCACGACATCACTCTATGCCCTGTAACATTGGATAACTTTATATTCTCTACCATGAACCTGTGTTTAATAGGCCACCCTTTATACACATATCTTCAACATTGTACCAAATATGTGGGGGCACGGGTGGCCCAGTCGTCTAAGGCGCCGCGATTCGCTGTGCAGAGTTGCGTCTCTTGGGCACGCAAAAAAACTATGATTGTTGGTTTGAATCCCGGTTCGCCCCGTTTATGTTTCTAGGTTTGTCAGCACCATACCCGTGCTCGTGGGTTTCACCGAAGTGGTAAACGTCGGAGGCCTGCATCACTTCGGGCTTTCCTCCCACATTAAGCTGACACGCCGCGATATAACTGGAATACTGTTAAAAGCGGCGTTAAACCCAACTGACTGACTCACTCACTCACTGTACCATGTATGTACCCTGTATCGAGGTGGCTCTGTGAAGATCCGAATTATAATTGGACTTCAGCAATCGGGATCTGACGTGGTTGATGCATGTCTCGAATATTTACAGACGCCGTCATAATGCTGAAATATTGCTGAGTGTGGCGTTAATCAAAAAACTGTATCCCTGTGAAATACCTGTGCCATCTGTTCCAGATAATGTGCTTCACTGCCTTCTCAGTGGTTTCCCTAGTAACGGCTGTGGTCAGCATCCAGCTGCTGAGACTCGGTCTGGTCAACCACACGACGGACGGACACACCTTTCAGAAAGAGAACAAGGACATTCTCATCTTCGTTGCCCTGGCAACGGCGGGGTCCGAGTGTCTAGTGTGCCTTATCTCCAGCGCCCTGAGTTGCCGTATAGCGAAGGTTGCCAAGGAGGAGATGTGTAAACGGCGAGAGGGCATGTTCCATGTTAAGGTATTAGGTCAAAAGGATATCGTAGTAGTAACCCGACCCTTCACTCAAAATGAAGACGTCACCGCTGTGTGAGCTTTACGTCATCACTTCCTGCACCGCTCTCCCTGCCTCTCCTCGCCTCTGCCACCCGGTTCAACAGAACACTGACCTCTTCCTTTAGTGATGACGTCACCACCCATCCTCCATGTCCCGAAAAAGTTGTGTCTGTTAGACTTCTGTGACGTCAGTCCGTCCGTTCCCGTCAAGCTCCTGCTGCTGCTTCTTGTGTGCCCTGTGTTCCTCAGCATCTCCCAGTGTCGCTGTATATGTATGTTTTCCACACAGGAGGATGGGGAAGATGAGGAGGGGGAGGGAGGCGGTGACGATAACCCAACGACGCTGGCCGGTCACGTGACCAATTCACAGCCTCTAGAGGAGGGGGGAGTGGAACTGGACATTATGTCTCCAAGAACTGCCGATAGAACGCAGAAAGAGAGGACACCTTTTGATATCCGAGAAATCGTGAAGGAGTGTCAGTCGGACTCTAATTATGAGAACCAGCGCGGCGAAACAACGTGTGACATACACACGCCGTTCTATGTGACCAACATACAGGAACCATCGCAGAGATTGTGGGACCTGGGTAACGCCCAGAGATACATTTGCACAGAGCCTGTCAGTCTCTTCGGGGGAGGTAACTCGAGCAGAGACTCCATCCTTCCCAGTATCCAGTCCTGACACCAGCAGTAATAAGAACAAAGGGGAGATAACCCGTCTCGGAGAGAAGCAATGGAGAAAAATGCAATACAAGTAGAGACTATGACCTGTGATTTTAGGAAAGGTGCCAAATTTCCCTGATTTGCCAAATAATAACATTACAAGGGAGTGGTCGAAACTTCTATAAACAGCAATTCAACCATCGTTGCGTGTCCATGCGGGGTCGGTGAGACTCTGAACACTCAATAATCCATGAACCTTACGAAGCTCAGAGGCAATATTTGCAATAGGAATCGTTAAGCATGTGCTTTGCATGGCTGGGACTCTCGTGTGCTTTGTTCATTGATATTCACACTTTCATGTTCAGAAACTGTTTCATTTCAAGCAGATTACGTCACAGTTCGTAATGTGTAGGAAACATCGTCATGAAACATCATAGTATTTTGGCAGATGCGTTTTTTGCACGAAGTAATCAATATATATGCAGTGCTTTTATTCTCTTGTCTTTGAATTTAGCATGACAATTCACAACGCCAGGTAATACCGCAGAATTTGAGGAGGTGAAAAGCTTTGATATTTTACCATATATAATATTTTTTCTTCTTTTCAATGGGGATATCCTTGCACCATGTGATGGGTGAAGTGGCATGTGATTGGTGAATCGTGATCACGTGTTTCATATGTTATTTGGTGCATGAGGCATGCCACTCGACTGTTGTGTTGTTATATAGTTTTAGTTAAAACGTAGCCCGTTATGTCACCTATTTTAAAAGAAACAAACGTGTATGAAGTGAGATATGATTAAAATGTATAGAGGCTATTTTCTGTTTTATGTCAATCCAGAGAGGGGTGTGAGGATGATTGATAAGAGATTGAGTGGAGATTCACGAATTTGCCAAACGAATCTGCACGAGTGCTGTCAGATACCATATATTTTACACCGTTTCTAAACGTAACTAACGTGCGTAGGAAAAATGGTATTTGACAGTCATAATGTACAGTAATCTGTTTCTTAAAAGTTCTAAATTCGCACCAATTTAAGATAGAATCGATGCATATTTTGTCATTCATGATCGTAGTGGCGCATTAATACACAACACAACGTTAATGAGTGACGTCATCTAGTTTACTGCCGACTACACAAACCTGGTGTGACCCTTCACAATTTCTTTTGAAAAAAATGCCTCAGCTATATTTGTGGATTGTCAAGGTGTTGATGAACTAAATAAGTGTGATATATGTTTGACACCAGGTATGTTAAGTGGGTTTCTCACCAACAGGTGTGTAAGAAAGTAGTCATCTTCATCGTCGGTTCGATACATCACAGTGCTTGTGTCCACAATAAGATTCACGAATTTGTCAAACGAATACCTTCGCATCTGTGTTCCATTTTGATTCAGGTCATCAATTTTATGGGTCAAGGGTTAGAACCCAAGATACACACCAACAATGGCTATTAGTCCGAACCGTACCTGTGCTGATGGGTTTCACCAGGTGCTAATGTAAATGGTCTGTGCCATTTTGGGTATTCCTCCAAGCGGCGTTGACCCGAACACACTCACCGACTCATCACGAATAACGCTATGACATATTTGACTCAAGCGGAGATCAAATCCGGACATTCGATGGCGATCGTATTAACAAAACTCCTTTACAAGAACGTTCAAACTGTCAAGGACGATGTATGACTGTATCAGAATTTCTGCAATTTTTCTCAAAATACTAATTTCCCGAAAAATACTGCAAAACTGTTTTTTATGCACCTGTACACAAATATATTTTGGGCTCCAATTGACTTTAAAATTGAGCCCTAAATATCCCGCTGTCAATACTTAACACAGCGAATCCGCTTCTGGGCTCACTTGTCCTACATCTGATACCAAACTGCCCGACGCCAGGGGGCGCTGACTGTATCGATCCGCCAACTTTTTACCCCTTCTCCGCTTCGTTCATGGAAGAGTAACAGCTTTGAAGGTTGCCATAAAATACCATTAACTGAACCACTCGACAACAGCTCACGTTCGGGTCACAGTAGCCAACAGGGTGTTGTTTATGGGACTGTCAAGCAAAAAGTAATGAAATTAAGTCGGCTTTGAAGACGAGGCTTTGTTTATCTGACAAGCGACTCCGAAATACCGCACAGGGAGCTTACAGCGGCCATTATCATGGAAACATCGACAGGCCGATCAAAACACTAACACTCTTTACTGCGCCTTGGTCAAATGCTGACTATTTGGCGAAATTAGGGGATCTTTCATCATCCATCTTACAATTTATGTATTCTAGAATAATGGAGGGATACTGTGTTTTATTAAACTGTCAAGAGGTCTTTGGGGATTGGAAACTTTTTAATGCTCTATTTCAATCATAAAGAATTTCACTTTATTACAGCTGACAATATATGTGATCGAAGCCTGTGATGACTTAATGGATGATGTAATAATGTTATTGAAAGCAGTGTGGCACTTCGTTGGGATTATATGTTTACCAGAGGCACATACAGGGCATAAACCAAAGCTGTCAAAAAACCCGGGAAAATCAAATGCATTGGTTAATGATCGACCGTCAGTAGTTTGTGGGAATCATGACCGACACCGCAAATACTACAACATGTAAACAATGATGTTTCAGTGAGTGTGTATGACTACGTCGCATTTAGCAATTTTGCAGCAATATCGGGACTTTTATTTTTATTTTATGTATTTTTCTCTCTTTTTATATTTCCCAAAGGTGGTGTTTCACAATCAATACCCGGTGGTTGATATATGTACAGGGTTAATTTACAGATAAAAGAGCTTTAAATGGACAATAGCCTTGAAGGACGTGATGGCAATATACTCGCATTATTTTACCCATGACATATAATCAAATGTTTTCTGCAAGTGGTTTTCATTTCTTTAACTAATTAAGACATATTTTTCTTAGAATTGAAATAGGTTTTTCTACTTTGCATACAGATGATATATACCCCATGAGGCGTTCAACAGATGGTTTTATGCCTTTAATACTTGACATATTACTATGTTTTTTTTGCTAACAGTAATATGATTATGTAATGTCATATTTTCTTGAAACACAAACTGAATGGAAAATGTTGCGCATGAAGCTTATCTTGAAGGTACTGGTTAAGTCGCTATTCCGGTTCTCTCCAGAAACCATCAATCACTGGATTGTCTGGTTCAGACTCGAGCATTACAGCCCGCCGTCATAAATCTCGAATATTGCTGGGTGCGGCGTTATGAAACAAACAAACAGACACTCGTTCCGAGTATGGGTTTGTTGATGGTAAATGAGAGACGTGTTAATCGCACATTTAACATTATCTTAGGAGTTTGGAGTTTTATGCCCATGAATTTTAGTTCTCTCTTACCAAAGTTGTTTCCATGCGGAAAGATGGGACTCTCAAAACCCATGTACATCTGCACAGCACATCTCAATGATATAACGTATAAACAGCAGGGCAAAAGCAAATACACTTGGTGAAGGGTGAAAACAGTCGACACACTGCAAACTTAAGGTCCAAAACACAACTGTTCTACCCGTTTCAAATACATCTTCATTGCATTAACATATCCCTTGTTGTTTAATGTTTATCCACCATCAAACATGGGTGTATACTTGCTTTTGTCCGACAGTTCAGACATTGAGTGTAACAGGAATTTAAACGCTGACCCATCAAATAAATTCGATATGGAATGTCACACTTTACGTCAATCACGGGTAGAGGAACTGATTGGCCCGAGCCTAAAATAACCCACAACACAAAACGTTAATACAGCATCACTTTCTGATACCTCTTGTTCTTGAGGACATAGCCATCTACAAGAAGAGTCAAGCAAACGGGGGAAGACGTGCTTCAGTTCGACTTCTTCAATGAAGCAAATACAGTCATCCTGGAGTTTTCATCCCGTCCTATTTGACTACTTTCAGCAAGTCTGTTTATCCTTCCCTGCAGCATCACCATCCCCGTGAAGTACTTAAGGCTTGGTCTTATCAAACTCCATTATCTTAATGCTACCTCGGACTATCTGCGGATACCGATGGTGCTGTTTCGCTCTCTCGACCCAAATTCCTCTTAAATAGAAAAATAAATCATTTTATGCAGACCTCTGCGACGGGCGATGAATGTTATATTTCCCATCTCAGCATTGGCAAACTTCCAGAAACGTGTACTTCACTTCCTCGGCTGTGCTTTATTTCAAAACCTTTAAAAAAGATTCCGGAACGGTGATAAGAAACAAACATAGCTCTCGTAAAATTCAATCAAAGTGGCAATTCAGTTTTCAAAGGCGTGTGAAGAAGGAAAGTTAAATGAAGGAAAGCGTTTTTCGGTTATGGCTGGGGTCTGGGGTGCCAAGCTGTTTTATTTGTAGTTAACAGACGGAACTACTTATAGCTTCCAGGAATTCTGTTCCAGGGTTGTAAATTGAGAGTGGTATTGGCACATGTGTTGCAATGCCGGATCGATATACGATATATCCATTAATATGATTAACTGACACATTTTTACATTCGCCGACGTCTTTGTATTTGCTTAATGATGGGTGTTAATGGATTTCTCCAATTTGGGCCGTGTACCAGTTCAGGTAAACGTTTGAGTAAATATTAGATTTGTAAGTACTCTCAGGCTTTGGTCAAGGGAAGATTTAGACTTTTCACAAAATGACGGATTTTCTCAACATGGAATACTATCGTTAGGCCTCATAAAAGAAAAAAAAAGGTTCTCATCACTTTTTATAACATTAATTGAGTAGGTAGGAATAAAAACCTTTGAAATACACACACACACACACACACACACACACACACACACACACACACACACACGCACGCACGCACGCACGCACGCACGCACGCACACACACACACACACACACACACACACAAACACACACACACACACATAAATATAAGAGATGACAAGAACCCGTATATACCGGGAACCAACATATAGACGATATCACACGAGTGTCCATGTCATACGATGTTTAAGACTCGAGAACCTATGTAAATTCTCAATAAATCTGTATTTCCCGAACGATAGCAGAATTAAGGCAGGGGGACGTAAACAGTGTATGGCATGGGCACGAATATAGTATTCTATTTATTTCCGTTACCGTTTTAATCTCCGAGGATTTTTTGCTTATCTGTGTTGACATGTCCAACGACATGATCGTTGGAAGAAGCACATGACGTAAGTTCGCCATTAGCCAATCGGTGTTCGAGGACCGTTGTCTCGGTACCTCTGTCAGAGGGCACATACGATTTCTATGAACCCCGATATGTTTGCCCTCGTAGGTAATAAACGTGGTTGAGAGCCAAATATTTTCAATTTCATCTGAATACTAGTACAATTCACTATACCGAGTGGCATACATAACCCGGGCGTTCTCTATTTATATGCTGATTAGGTGAGCAGTGTGTAGACAGACGGAATATAGACAGGAATATTTCAAAGCGAAAACATTGGTGTTTTAGCTCACCTGAATCAGTGGTCATGTTTTCAGCTGTCTCGACCCAGTTGCTGTAAAGTTTAATATTATCTGTCCACATTTCCTTTACGAAAGGTCTACGAAGCTGGGATTCCTGCTAGTCTGCCAGTGCACAACCAAGATGATTGTGACTCAGTTGAGGCCTTTGACCTATATGGATCCATGGTTGCCATATTGAAATATTATAGTATTTCGACATATTACTTAGCCGTTTGTGAGAATAAATGTGATGTTTGATGTGCATTAAGCGTGAGATATGTGTATATCATAGGGGGTTGTCCGTCGTCTGCTCGACGCAAATATAATCCATCTGTTACACCTTTACGTG